GAGTCATAGTTTCGTGGTGCTATAGGAGGGGTGCCGAGGGGAAGGGGGGGGGGACTGCAAACAAGGAGATGATGGCAGGCAGTCATATACTAGAGCTGCATATGACGAAATGTAAAATACTAACCTTTTTTCTTCTCTTACAAACATTGAACTACCATCCATCAATATGTATAAGTAGAATTAAGGTTAGCTGAAGAGGAATTTACACTAAAGTTAACCACTAGCAGAATCTCTGGAAAACAGATACATAGTAGGTCTCTTCTGGCAAAGATGTACAAGAAATAATAATCTTACCGCAGGTTGTCAAGTTACAACACCAAAGAAAAGGTTCAAACTGAGTAAACAAATAGTTAGGAGCATTACAATTAAAGGTCAAGAACCAGATACTGGGCCGGTGTGCCTTGACCAGATAAGAGGAGGGTCTGCTGTAAAATGACGGCATGTGAAAATCAGTGTTTTCTTCCAAAACCTTGGAATAGTTTGTTAGAGTTCAAGGCCGCAGGAGGTCAAACAAGAAGAATTTAAAATCAGGAGAAATTAAATAAAAAGCTTGTGGATCTCACCTGAACACTGAATTTAGGTTATTAATTCAGCAGGATAGTGAACATGTGGAAATCGACACAGAAATAGTTCACCAGACACCAAATCAATCTTCTTTCATGTCCACCTCGAGTCTCTACATTTAATTTTTATGGAAAAGCTTTTAGACGAGCTGAAGAAAAAAAAAAAACTTGAGAGAGAACTCAGGAGCCTGAACTGTCTGATCATGCAGAAAGAAACGGTCAAATATCGCTCTCTGTAGATGCTCCAACCGTGTAAGATGTTATACCAGGAATTTAGCGCCGTTCTATTGTATAAAATGTTGAATGTGTGGGTACTAATAGTTGTGCTATCAGTTAGTTTAGAAAAACCAACCTTTTCTTAACATGTCTTTTGTTCTACGTAATAAACGGCCTCAATCTAAATGATGGGTATGTCAGTGTGTATGTTGCTGGAATAAAAGCTAACATTTAAAATCCACATGTACTGCAAATGAAATAGATTTTTAAATAGATTAATAGCCAAACAAACCCCAGGTACATTTAATAAAGATACCCACATTCCTGATCCTTTCCAAGCAGAAGCAGTTTATCCCTTAGACTGCAATATGGAAGGAAGAAGAAAAACTTCCACGTGATTTGTCACAGAATCCTGTGCCCACTAAAGTGATCAGATCCTATAAAATGTATCATTCAAGTCACAAACCCAACATTCAGTGGCAACAGCAAACAAATGCAATTTCAGCTTGCTGTGCATTTGTGCACTTAACGTCAAAGGGCTGCTTTAGTCTCAACAGCAAAAATCACTGAAGGATTCACCTACATTTCAGAAGCTGTAGTAAAGTCATCCTCCAATGTTTTTTTTTTTTTTTATGATTTACTGGACCCCACTTATTTAATCATTTGTAACGAAAGGATAATAGAGTGTTCCTGCTGAAACTTTCTCCTAAATTACTTTCCAGATGACTGGGGTTATTGGTCTTTTATAATGAAAAGTAACCCGATCGGTCGTTAAATCATCCTCGGCAAAGTCGCAATTTCCATCTCTCATCTTTGTGTAATTTTTCTAAATTAATGTTCATGTCACTTACAATGACCGAAAAAAAAAAAAAAAAACACAATGCAAACAAAAATAAAGATTAGATGGAGCATATTTCTAGTACTTGTTTTTAGAAGATAGGATCAAAACGGGACGATTAAAAATTATGTGTGTGTGTGTGTGTGTGTGTGTGGTCATGAATATTTACCCTCTTTAAGCCTCAAAATCAGTAATAAAGGCTGTTCGACCATCCAGAGCCCCTTCTCTCTGATTGACAGAGCTATTGGAATTAGGACCGGCAGTTCAATAAAAAGGGAGGAAACGTTTCCTCATTAATTCTCTTAAGCCATTATCCTCAATTTAACCTTGACCTGCCTTTATCAAGCTGCTTCCTACGAGGGGGGAAAAAAAAGCAATTGTTTGAAGCGGAAGTAATTCACCTGATGGCAAACACATTTTCCGCAAAAAATTAATCTGTGCTGCTTCATGTGCTGGTCCAATTTGTTGCAGTCACATAAATGATTAACTCTAAACCAGAAGTGAAAATATTATTTCATACATAATTACGTCCCTTTGAGTCTCTCACTGGCATGCTGTGCATATCAAATCTGTGACACTTTTGTGCAATTTTGAAGTTTTGATTAAAGTTATTAACGTGAACCCGTTTTCGCCCTCTGTGTTTTGGTAAACATAGCAGTGGGCCTGGGGGGTAAATAAAAATAGTTGGTGATAGAGGATGAATGGAGGCAGGTTTAAGAGGCTTTTAGATATTCTTTTTCCCCCCCTCTAGTTCAAATAAGGACAAACTTAGAAAACGAACTTAAAAAAAAATATACATAATTTTAAAAAACTGATGAAAAGGGTTGAGGCTTGTGCTTGTACGACCTAAAGAAGAGCAACTCGACATGCATCTATTTGGCTTTCTTACTGAAAACATCACCTACGACAGAATGATGCAGCTAATACAGCTACTGCATCGCAGCGGACAGAAGGCTTCCTACCAGAGGAAGACGTTACCGGAGTTATTTTGATTGCTTCCAATGACATCCCTGCTGAGGTGATCATCAGTACATAGCCTGATTAGGTATTTCACGTGGTGCAGCTGCTAATTTACGACGACGGAACGCTGCCGCTGTTTTGGGAGGGACAGACGTTGATATAGACATCTATGTTTAACACAGTGACTCAGTAGTTTTGACTCTTGCTATGTTCCGCTGCACGCCAACAGGCCCTCGGGCTGCTTTGTATTCTACTTTTAAAGTTGCCCGCATCCGCTCCTCTCATACAACCACAGACTGCGATTAACAAATAAAGGGTTGATTAATTTGTTTGCACTCGCATCGTTTCAGATTAGTCAACACATTAACAACACTACTAATTAAACTCTGAAAGAAGGTGGTATTTTGCAAGAAGCTACTTACTGTAACTTGATGTTGAAAAACTGGGAGATAAACGATGATGATTTAAAACTGTCAGCTGAAAATAACGACCCCCCAATGCTCAATTTAGAGATGTTAAATAATCAGTGGGAAAAGATGTAGATGTGGCATGATGAATACGATTGTCTCATCTACTGTGCTAGATATTTGCTTTGACAAATCATTGCCAGATAGTGATGTAATGAGAATGAAAGAAAAAAGGGGAAACGCATAACTTTAAAAAAAAAGAACTCCTTCTCCAATTAGGTTCAGTTAAATTTGTCGCTTAATTCACCTAGACCCATATTAGTTTGCTTTTGGCAGAGGGAGTCCCTTCGGTTAATCACTTTGATAATTTAATGGTAACTCTAATGAACAAACAATTAAAATTAATAACATGACAGCACCCTCTCTGAACTGACTGTCTCAACAAGATGGGGGATTGTTTTGGAACGTGAACTTAATTCTCTGACTTTGTTTCCGCGTGTACATGAGATCAGCCCCCGACATGTCAATGAAGAGGAAATATAGAGCTTGGAGGGTATTAATGTGCATTGATGTTTCTCAACAACAAAAAATAAAATAAAAAAAAATTAAAAAGTTCAGGAGAAGGAAGGCTGAAGATATCTTTAAAAAATTCTTCATGTTTTTTTTTTTTGCGTTTTACCTCATGCAAGATCAACAATTATAGTAGCTGCTTATAAGAAGCTGGAAATTGTCCACTCATCTATTCTGCCCATCATTTTCTAATTTTCTTTTGACCAATATCCCTTTTGTATTACCTCTAGTCTTCAAAAAATATGTCTACCCTTTAAAGTCATTCTTCTGTCACATAGCAATTTTGTTTTACAGTGCATTTTACTGTGATTTTACGTAATAGACCAACATAACTGTAAAACAGAAGGAAAAATTCACACAGTTTACCAGATGCCATTCAAACAAAAATGTAAAAGAATGGAAGGTATTTGTAAAACCACCTTTCCCTGCAAATGTAGCTGCAGTATTTTGCAGCGTGTCGTCACTAATTTTGCATATCTAGAGACTGAAACCTCTGCCCATTCTTCTTTGCAACATAAGTCAGGCTGACACTGGTTAGATGTAGAGCTTCTGCAAACATTGATTTGCAGCTGTGCCATATCTTTATATTTCTCAGGTGATGCTCTAAACTCCTCCACACTTTTCTTTTAGCCCTTTCCTGGTGAGATCCTTGGTTTTCAAGATGCCATTTATTCACTATAAGTTCTCTAATAAAGCTCCACGGCCTTCATGGAGCAGCTGTTCTCACGCAGATATTAAATAAGACACATGTATCTTTTTTCTTGAACTTCACAATTATTTGTATTGGTCAATGACATACCATCCCAATGAAAAACATTGCGTTTTCTTCAGATTCAATCTTTATGACTTTTTTTTTGTTTTTTTGCAAGCCTATTTTTTTCTTTTCACACAAAATGATCTGAAGTATTCCTTGGACTACGGTATCATTCCTTCTTAAGGTCATCCTCTCCCATACCTCCTTGGAGGGAACCCTAGATCCCTTCCGCCGTGACCACCAGCTTTCCACCATAGCAATGAGGCAGGAGAGAACCACGCCGGCTGCCAGGACGCAGAAAACTCCGGCAAAGCTGTGGATGTCGAGCGCGTTGCCACGCTGCCGCGTCTGGTCTGAGCTGTAGAGGTCACACGGGCTGTCTTTGGGCCACCACTTGAGTTTCAGGATGTCCATGTCGCCGTTCTGTTGGAGTTCCAAGATTCTGGGAGGCAGGGAAGAAATGGAAGTGTATATGAAGAGAACCAATAGAAACTAAAATCAAGCCTATTTTGAAAGAAAACATCAGCTTTCTATTGCAGCAAACGCAATGCACAGGAGTGAATAAGCAAGCAGCAGAATTCAGATTAAAAATAATCAAGTAATTGATGGGACTTGAGCTGCATTTTTATGATTAGAGAGGCAAAAACAGCCAGGGAAAATAAATTATCTGCATGAATCATCTGCACAACACCCAACACTGCAGAGTTGACTGCAGCTGTTGTAACTCCTCTCCGCCATTTGATGGCAGTGTTGATCAGCTGAAATTCCCCAGGATCCCCCCCAATACCCATATTGGGCTGTCAAACTCATTATGGCTAACATTAATATGTTTTGCAGCACAGCACAAGTACGCTGCCACAATGTCATTATGCAGCTTAGCTTTAGTCACACGATTGATGGCTTCAGAGAGGATACAGCTCAGAGGTTGATGGGGTCCCTCTGCTAGCCTTCAGTTTATTATTTAACTGGGTTGTTCGTTTTGGTTTGCAGGAGAGCCGCAGATGCAGACACTCGGAGAACAGCTTATATTTAATAGGAGATCTGACATGAAGCGGAGAGTGGTACATGGAAAAAAAAAGGAACACATAAAATGAGAAAAGAAGAATATAATGCCCTCACAGACGCATTCATAATAATACAGACGGCTATAATCCAGCATGAGCAAGTGAGCCACCACACTGGCTGTTAATGCACAAAGGGAGACGCAGTCTAAGACATAAAGTAACGAACTTGATTGCATAAATGTCCAAGCAAACCTAATAAGGATTCTTCCATGTTCTCATCAATGATTTGCAAAACTTCCTGGGAGGGCATTCCTCCTTTAGTTGCAGCGACAAAAAGGAAAAAAAAAAAAAAAAACCAGATCTGTGCTCTTTACTTTGTTTTTCAGCGTATGCGAAGCACACGGAAAATCAGCAAATGCAAACAAACCCTGCAGCCAACTCATTTATTCACAACAACTGGAAAAAACATGGATCATTTTGACATGAATCAGACTCAACCTGCCACTTCAGAATCAAAACAGTCTCATTCAGAAATGTAATTTTATCACTTCATAAGCTTTTCTGTGTGGGGAAACAACATGATTAAAAAAGAAAATTCATCATGATATTGATTGTCTTCTGCTTGAGTTTTGAGTAGATTAACTCACAGAGGTGTGTTTATGATCTTTCTATTCTATATTCCCAGATGAAGAGCCAGAGTGATCTGCATTGTCAGTAATAATGATAAAGTCAATAGAAGGTATATTAAGGGTTGTGCTGTAAAGATACTGGAACTGAGACTCAGTCAGGGTCAGTCAGTCATCCATGCATCTTTCCCACTCTCCCTCCTTCATCCATTCCTTCATCCATCCATCCATCCATCCATCCATCCATCCATCCATCCATCCATCCATCCATCCATCCATCCACACACACATACATCCATGGGGAGCTGACACATATTTCCAGCAGGTGAGAGACTGGTAACTTCCTGGACAGACCATCATAAGACTGCATGTATGTATGCATGCTAAGTTCAATGAGTAAGTTTGTGTGTGTGTGTGTGTGTGTGTGTGCGTACATGATTATCTGCCTTGTGTTTTCTTTGTTGCTCTTAATGTCTTATAAAAATAGATAGATGGATATTAGCATATAACTTTAAGATTAGACTAGGTTTCAGTTTATGTAAAAACAACAAAGGAAAAATGCAATTGCACAAAACAGAAACCAAACACTTCCAAAGTCCATAAGTCTGTCTACATTTCAGACTAAAATGAATAAAACATTTAAAGTAGTTCTTCCAAATAATAATAATAATAATAAAAATATCTATAAATATTTCTTTAAGCCAAAAAGGTAATTAAACTTCTGAAGAAAATGCTGTGTGATATCAGTTTAGAGAAATTATCTTATTGCAAACTTTGGTACAGTCAAGATGATGGATCATTGTAAGCACAAACGCCTGCTACAGCTTCTCCAGTTGATTACTTTGCCAAAGCTCAAAAGTTATATTTTGTCTATCGAGGTGGAGTTACTCTTATGACTGTGAATGTCACTTTGCTGAAACTATCTCTCAGTTTTATTTCCCAGACTACTGTCTTGGATTGAAACCGTGATTTTCTGAGGTTCTTCCAGAAGACAGTCCTGAATGGAGCGCTTAACAGGTGAAGCTCACTAAGCTTTGGAGATAAGATTAGACTGGAGCTTACTGATCAATTTTCAGCAACACAGTCAGTGTGAGAAGGCATTTTGACGATGATGAAGACACAGGTGTTCTCAAAATGTTTGAATATAATATGCCTAAAAAGCTGATTTGTGTGCTGATTTTTTCGTAGTTGAGCCAAACTACTCCGACGTTGAAGCAGCAGCAGAACCTAGCATCAGGAATCCTGGTGTCGTTTTGAGTGATATAAAACTTGATTCGCATCAGACTCACTCTGGGTGCACCCTTGTCTTCTGCAGTTTAGCTTTCGTATCATGAACTGATACTGGTTTTCCCCAAAGGATTGAGAGTCATAAAGATGTGTTGTTCCCAGACTCAGAGGAACCTCAATATCTTTCTGGGTTAGCAGCGACTTCCACCACACACCTCTCCCATGGATGACATTATTGCCCGTGTCTTTCAGACAGTGGAGCCGTGAACACTGACCTTTACTGAGATAAGAGACTTGGATTCCCTTAGTGGGTTTCGTTTGATCTTTTGAGTGGTTTTGGAGGATATAATACGTCTGATGGCCTCTGTGGGTGTTGCTGCTCTCTGTGGATGTGTAGAGTTTAAAATGCCTTTGATAATACAATTTAGGAAAACAGAAAACCAAACGTTAAAATCCACCATTAGATGAAAACAAAAATTATTTCCAAATCAATAACCAAAAAGACTTTTAGGAATACACAAAAAAGAGAAAAAAAAAAAACAAAAAAACATTATCACTTCAGGATTAATAAAACTTACCATTATAAATTATTCAACAAGTGGATGTCTTTATAGTTATTTAGATATGTGAAAGGAAATGTGTGAAAATTTTCATTTTTTGAATGCATAAAATCCATTACCTTTAAAGTTTTACAATTTTTTTCATCAGAAGCTTGACCATGGATTGTTGAGAGTAGTTTGTTTCTGTCTGAGAATAGTACACACATCTACTACTACTATAACAAAAAAACAACTCGTGTTGGTTTCATGAGGTTTTAACATGTTCTTTTCATACTTCTGCCTTATTAGAGTGTTTAAAATATTAGCATATTTCTGTTTAATCTGAAAAAAAAAATAAAATAAAAAATAAAAATACCCTGTCAGAATGCTTCAGCGCCACACAGCTAACCTGCTCTCTAAAATTTAACATGCACCCTTGCCAATTTGTTTCTAGTGAGAGTATCACAGAGAGATTACAGACAAATTCATGTGAGTTCAAACACGATTGCTTTTCCCTCAAAGCAACATTGGGCTTTTACACAGTTCTGACCTTTTTATCTGTCAGTCTGGCAACAGATGCTTTACACACACACACACAAACAACCCTGTGCTCTGACAAACAGCTTCACAGAAAGTCGTATTACATGCACCTTAATAAGAGGGAACACAAACAATCCCAACTAAAAACAAGACATCCAAGGTTTTGTCAAAGTGTTTTATGATTTCTTGCATGTAATTTATCCATGTTCTGAAGAAGTCGAGGCAAGGCATTTTTTTTTTTTTTCTGTCAAAATAAGAGCATAAGTGCATGTTTTGGGGAGCTGCCCATTATCTCGACTCATAAGCTGACTGTTCATTTGAAAACAGATTGTCACGGCAAAAAGATTTTGTGTGACACTTATAAACAGCAGCCGATTCATGTTTCATGTACTTTAACATTTCTGAATATTGTTACAGCCTTTTAATATGCGAGGAGTCAATAACTGAAGCTAGATTCTGTAAAAAAAAGTTCACTTTTGACATTTGGAGGAAAAAAAAATCTGTTATTATTAAAAATGGCAGAGGTGACATTATGCTTTCAAGTTCTGAAACATAATGTCACCGTACAGGAAAATCTATATGATTTTGAAGGGCTACGAGTTTAATCTACAACTCATAAAAGAAAGATCAAAAGGATGTCAAGCTAAACCGCAAACAGGAACGAGTCAGGATATGAGGACCGAAACAGGCATTCCAGATACAGATTCCATCCCTGGTGGAATTATTTGGGTGTGGCTAAAACTTCATGTATCATTAAGGTTTTTGAGAGAGGACATAGCAGAACAGATTTGAGATTCAGGACAGAGTGCCTCCACTCAGCCCTCTATTACGACCCTGTCTGCCAGTGCAGCTCATCATCTATCATTCTGCACTAATTGGTCTATCAGAGTTATGCAAAGGCTGCTTCCCTGATGGGCTCTTGAATCAAACCAGAACACTTACATACACTGACAAGAACATAGCTCCTCACACACATATTAGATCCATTTACATTTGTCTCACTGGTGTTATCCTGCTCACTGATTCACAGAAAAACAAGGAGGACCATAATGAGAAAAGTGTGGCTGATGTTTAAAGTTCTATGCTTCAAATATGATGTGGGCAAAGAAAAACCTCAGTTTTAATCTCCAATATCCAACCACACTATATTAACATACTATTCCTTCACCAGTTGAGTCCTACAGTGTGTAGAGACTATAGTGGATTTTTGCTTTATTTAATCTTCAAAACTCTTGTACCAGTTAGCTCAAGGTCTTTCTAAAACCTCTCTGAATGCTCTCTGGCCATCAAAGAAATATTATTATTATTAGTTTGACTTCATTCTCACAGATCTTGTGAGGAGTACCTAGTTGTGGCTGAGCTATTGGGAAATTACTATAAATATACATCTTCTTTCTACTCCTGGATTGTGATCCCAAAGGGGCTCAGTGGAAAAATCAGGATATATGTGCCTGTAATCAAATCCGTAAGTGTGTTTTGCAACATTATGGTGGAAACGGTCATGAG